TGAAAGAGGGCTGAGGTCAGGCGCTAGACTGCAGAGGGGTGTCCTGAGAGCTCTCCTAGCAATGAGTGTTAGCCACGCAGTACAGATGCCCGGCTGTGAGAACCATGGTGACTGATATGGGGCCAGCGTGACAGGGGGACTGGCTCAGGCCCAGCCTACTGAGGCTGCGTAAGTGCTTATAGTCAGAGAGGATATATCTGGGCCCAACGGCTCCAGGTGGGGGGACAGGGACAGGGTTGTAACCCTGGCAACACCTTCTTTGTGGATTCACTAATGAGACCATTAACTCAACAAATCGTGATTGATACCTACTCTGGGCCAGGACAGGGCCTGGCACAGAGGTTGCCGTGGTGCAGGGATCTGTCAACTTTTGCTCTGTCACCTGGGCATCCAAATGGGCTTCCTGAGGACCAGAATGTTCCAGACTGGCTTCTTGGACCGTTGATTCCCCTGGGTTCAAAGCCACCACCATCCCCCAGCAGGACCAGGTCCATATGTGGGCTCCGGCTGCCCTGCCAGCTCCTCCCGCCTGCTCAGCCACTGGATCTAAGGGATCATTGATTTGCTTCAGGCTGCCCATTGGTTAAGGGTGAGATGGCCCAGTTATTCAGCCTCAGACCTTTAGTGGGATAGACTTGATGTCATGGCTCATGTTGAAAACAGTGTGGTAGCTGCCCCTTTGGGCAGCCTGTGGGGCCCAAGCAGTTGAACTTTGCCCGCTCCCTTCTCAAGGGGATGAGTCAACAGGATCTCTGTCAAGAGGCAACCGGGTGGCCACCCGTGTTAAATTTCAGCTCCCCGGGTTGGGATCAGAGGTAGGAACAGAGCAGTTCATCGAGGACTTCATCTCAGAGGTGTCCTGCCTGAAGTGGCCCTGGGGCTGTCACCTGGGAAGCGAGGGAGGCAGGTGTGGATAGACTGCACTAGACGACAGCCTCTTCCCTGAAAGACAGTCACTCAGTGATGCCCAGAGGCAGCCGATGCTGCCATCCCAGCAGCGCTGGCATCACAGTGTATGCTGTGCCCTCACGTGCCCCGTTGTTCAGTTCATTCATCCACTCAGTGCTCATTGGGCACCTGCTGTGTAGTCAGGGCTGGGTGTGGTTGAGCACAGGGTGACCCCCATGCAGCTGCCCCTGGGACTCTGGTTTGTGCCTCCCTGCAGCCTGGGACTGGCTGGGATGCCCACCACCCTGCTGGCCCTGGGCCCTGCCTGTGCTGTTCACCCTCCTAGTCACGTGCCCCGGAGCCTGTCTCCCTGGTGCCTGTCCCACCCCGGAGCAGCTTGCTGAGGACCACAGCCCAGTCCATCTAGCTGTTTTGTCCTTTTGGGGCTCATTCATGCCACAGGACAAGAAGGAGTTCTGTGAGCTCAGCACAAGCCATCACCCCAAGTCCTTACACCAAGGCCAGGGCAGCCACATCAGGGGCTGGCTTGTGGGTGCACGTTGCCCCTCAAAACAACTCTAGCTGCCGGGCATTATGTCGGTGAGGAAACAGAGGGTCTTGAGTCCACGACACACCCAAGTTTCAGAGCGAGTCGTCAGCAGTGCCAGGACTTGCCCTCAGGCCAGTCAGATGCTCATCCTGGACGGTTCTTCCGGCACCAGCTGCCTCCCTTCATTTGTGCCCGACCAGGCTGGTGTCCTGAGGTTCAGACACTGGAGACGTGGTTGACCAGATGGGCTTCCAGACCAGGGCTCCCTCCTGCTTTGCAGTCCTGCGTGGAGAGCCCTCTGGCCACAGGGCTGGCTGGGGAGAGGGTTTCTGCTGCTGGCCAGGCGCTGAGCAGACGGGGAGCAGGGAGAGATGATGAGCCCCGGGAGATCTGGGATAGGAATCGCGACGCCATCTAGAGAAACTCTGATGAGTCAGGAAGAAATTGAGCAGTTGGTGCTGGAACATTCCAGAAGGCTTGTTCAGCACCAAGGGCGCCAACTAGGGAGCTGCAGTTTTCCATCAGAAGGTCTGAGGAACGCCGTGGCCTGAGGCTTCCTGGGACGGGGCGTAAGGCTTAGTCCTTGAGCTTGGTGGGAGCTCACAGTCAGAGGGGTGAGGGTGGGGGTGGAGGGGGGAGCACACAGTGTGTCACTCGGTGGCGCAGTGACGGGAACCTGGCAGGATGCTGATTTCCAGGCCTGCTTTTCTTTCCGCACATGCACGGGGATGTCATGCGCTTTTCCAGAACATCCGCCTTGCAGGTTCTCTAGTGCCGAATCTGGCTCACGACGGACGCACAGTCCGGATTTTGTGGAGGGAGGGAGGCGGGGAAGGAAGGGAGGAAGAAAGGAAGGAAAGGTGAATGGACACCGTCCCCCGAGAGCTGGTGGGAATAGTGAGACCTGAAGTCAGACAAGCGGCCCCTTGTTGGTGATCCGGGGTGACCAAGGTCCTGGTGCCTGGCTTCCCCGAGGGTCTTGGCTTGGCCACACCCCGTCTAGGGCAGTTTGCCTTCTCTGATGTGAAACCCGCCCTCCTGAGGACGCCCCTTCACATGCTGAAACGCAGAAGCCACCAGTTTCCCTCGTGACAGGCGCCAATGACCAGGAGCACCGGTTCTCATCGATATCCTGTTTTTCCCCCAGGGAGGTCGGTCACATATCGTGGGTGCTTCAGGCTGCCGGAGAACATCACACACGCTTTCCCCGACTCCCTGATGCAGGCCAACGTGACAGTGGAGACGTGTTCGGGATTTTGTTCCAAGAAAGTAAGACCAATTATAATTCTACCACATCAGCATGTGCGGTGGCCCCAGAGAGGGGGCAGGTGCGGTGCTGGGCTGCAGACATCCGTCCGCCCGGAGCAGCAGGCCACTCAGCAGACATCCCTGAGGGCGCCCTGAGGGAGTCTGTTGCTAGGGCTGGTGATTCCAGCCCGGGCGGGGAATTGTCAGCGAAGGTTGTAGAAGCTGAAATGATCATGCCTTCCCCGTCATGAGCTCTTGGCACAAGTGTCAGATGGTAGACTGACTTGGTTTGGAAGCACGGAGATGCTGGGTCGGGACCTGAAGAGAACAGATGGATTTTCTGTTGTGTGTGCTGATGGTGTTGGCCATGAACCTGACTTCAGGGGCTGGAGTCCCAGGGGCACCTTTGGTTCAGCCTGGGCTGAGGAGTGGGGTGTGACTGTGCGGGGCCTGGGCTGGGCACTGAGGCTAGCTCTGGGGTGGAGAAATTGGCCAAGGCCAGGTAGGATTTGCAGAAGGCAGGACTGGGGGGCGGGGGGCGTTGTGAAGCGAGGCTGGTGGAACCAGCAAGCTGTCCAAAGAGCACTGAGGTCTGGGGCTGGAGTCCAGCAATTTCCAAATGGGTCTGAATGATGCAGCCCTGGATATGCCCTCAGTGGCAGCAGGCTGGGGTTTGGGGCTGCTCCTCTGTGTGGGGGTTCAGTAGCCTTGATGAGACCATGATACCTAGCAGTGTAACACCATGGGGCTAAGAGAGGGGCCTTGGCAACGATGATGATGATGATGATGATGACGACGACAGTAATTATCAACAGTAGCTAACATGTATTGCTTGTTTATTTCATGCCACCTACTTACTGTTCCAAGCCCAAATGTGTTAGCCAATTTAATCCTGTAGCAACCCTATGGGATAGTGTTACGATTATCTGCATTTTTGCAAGGTGAGAAAACTAAGGCAGGGAGAGCTTGAGCATTCTTTCCGAGGTTGCATAGCCGGTAAGGGGGGAGCCAGGACTTGAGCTGTGTAGCTCCATGGCCTCCTGGTGGTTTGAGGGTGCAGGGAGTGGGCCTCCGCGAAGGCAGGTGTGGTTGGACGTGGAGGAGCCTGCCCTCCAGGGGTGCCCCACCCTCCTTGGGAGCTACTCTCCCTCTGCTGCGTGCCCTCCCCGCTCTTGCGATGCTCCCCTTGGAGGCGGGTGGAGACTTCCTCTTGCGCACGCACAGCCTTTGAAGAGGCTCCTGCCCGTCCAGCATTTTCGAAAGCCTCCTCCGAGGAATCTTTCAGGGCATCAGGGAATGACGAGACACGTGCAGCAAGCCAGGAGCAGCTTGTTGATCTGCTCACATCTGGCCTGGGCATCTCTACTTCCCCTCTCCCCTCGTGGGAGCAGGGCCTGGGGTAGAGGCAGCAGGGACACCTGCTTGTGTGCTCACAAGGAAACAGCCGCTCTCCAGGGCGGCCTGCACACCTGCAGGTCCCAGCAGGTCCCCGAGGAGCCTCTACTGGAATCAGAGGAGCTCAGCTGGGCCAGATCGGGCTGAGGGCAACCTCCTAGGGTCCCCCACCTGCCCGGGGCGGTGTCCTGTGTCCTGTGTGCTGGGTGCTGTGTGGGTGACCTCCCCACCCGTGATCTGCCTCGCCCTCCCAGCGCTCCCTGAGGGAGGTGCTCTGATCCCGGCTGCTGCGACAGAGCCAGAGCAGATCTGCACACAGGCAGGGAGCCACTGGCGTTACAGCCTACCCTGCTGCCCACCACCACCAGCCCCCCATGCTTCTCCCTTTATGTGACATTGGGGGGAAGGGCCCTAGTGGGTGAGCCCAGAAAGGAGGCAACAGGAGAGAAGAAACAGGGGCCATGACAGGAAACAGACATCACCGCTGTGTGTCCTTAGTGTTTTAAATTATTTTTAGTAGGTAATGTGCTCACACAATAAAGAGACACCAAAGTGTTCAGATGGGAGCGTCTTCCTCCCGCCCGGTGTCTCACCACCCAGCGTCTGTCCTTCCTCGGGGCAGCCACGGTCCTGACTTCCTGTGTCCACAGTCAGAGAGCATCTGTGTCTATTCCAGCCATCGGTTCTTTCAAAGACACGATTCCTTTACAAACCCCCAGGCGGTAACGAGCTACTCACCGCCGCCCTGCGTGGGACGGGGAGCGATGGCTTCCTATTGGCAAGGAGCGTGCTTTCCCGGTCTCTCATTCCCTTACAGGATGTCCTATAATTTATTTAACCGGCCTCCTGCTGCTACACATTCAGCTTGTTTCCAGTCCTTTGCTTCTACAAATAAGGCTGCAGTGACTCCCCTTGTGGGTGGGGCGTTTTGTCGCGGTGGATCCGGGAGACAGAATTCCAAGGAGGTGCTGGGTTCCAGGCCCTGTGTCCTTCTCACGTTGGCAGACTTTGCCACGTTGCCCTTGGCTAAGGTTGTAAAGGGTGTCCCAAAATTCATGCAAGATTTGAATTTTGATTTCAATCCCTTCAATTTGATAAGCATTACCAAGTACCAATTATGGCCCAGGAGCAGGGACAATGAAGACCACGGCTTTGCATATGTACCAGCAAAGCCGTGGAGGCCATTTACCCAATGTGCTCTTCCGTACATAACCCTATACTGTGTACTTTATGAATCAATAAAAAATTTACAATTTTTAATTATAAACCTGTGTTTTCTATCAAAATTACTTCTTGCGTGAATTTTGGGACACACTTTATCAACCTCACACCCCCGCCAGTGCTGTCTGAGAGGGAAAGGAGGCAGCCTGTGGCTCTTCTTTCAGAGACAATGACTTCAAAGCAGCATCCTAGGGAGACATTCCAGTATCCTGGGGGCACCTCCACTGGGGCAGCCCGCGAGGGCCCAGAGATGGCTGCCCTGTGCTTCAGACACGCACCCTGAAGATGTTACACTCTCCAGCTTCTGTTTTCAGTCTTTCTTCGCTTTTGCTGGCACAAATCCATGTTGCTGCAGTTTTGCATTGGAGCTTGTGCCAGCGGCACCTGCAGGCTCCCGATCTCTTCCCCGTTTTTCGCTTTAGCACCTTGTGCCTCTCCCCTCATGACGTGTTTCAAGAACAAGTCACATGCTCAGCTCTGGGCAGTGCCGGTGGGAACTGTTCGGGTCAGATCAGGGAGGAGAGGGCATCCCGGGTCCTCGAGGTGCGTCTGCTTGTTTTTTTCCTGGCCTCCCTGCGTTGTCAGATGGGCTGGGGCGGGTGGGGGTTTCCTCCAGGGCCATTGTTTAGGTGCTCTGGAGTTTGCAGCTGGGAGGAAGTCCTCATTTCCAGCGTTCATGTCGAAAACAGATCTTGGCAGGAGGCATTTAGTGAGATGTGTCCAAACTAGTGTGGGGGTGGGGGGTGCCAGCAGAGCTCAGGGATGGGGGACACCTGGCCCCCTCTCATGAGGTAGAGCTCACCCCTGGGGAGGAGCTGAGATAAGACACGACTGAGGTCAGTGCCTGAGGGGGGCGAGGGAGACTCGGAGGCCAGTAGCACCAAGGCTGCAGGACTGGCCCAGTGGCAGCTCATCTGCGCTTGTGTGGAAGGGTGGGAGCCAGAGGATGTGGGCAGTGTCAGCGGGCGGATGAGGGATGTGAGGGGTGCATTGTAAGACCAGGCAACTGCTGAGCAGGCGGGGGCTGGTGGGAAGCAGCCCAGCTTGCTGGAGTGGAGGGCTACATGGCGTGGCGTGGAAGGTGGGTGGAGACACATGGCAATGGGCCTTGCATGCCTGCCTCAAAGCCCAGGTGCTTTTGGTGCATAAGAGGGAGCCACTGGTGGTGTAGCAGGGAGAGGATACCGTGCCCAGCGTGGCACCTCACAGCCGTAGGTGGGGCTCTGGAGGGGGGTGGAGGCGTCCTCTGTGGATCCCTTTGGGGGACAGCCCTCCTCAGAGACACCTTGGGAGATGCCTGGGCAAAGCTGAGATAGAAGGTGGCCTGTGGTCTGGCTCTGGAGTTAGGGATTCTAGGGAGGGCGAGGGCGAGACCCAGATGTTACTCATCCAAGGAAAACCACCTTCTACCCAACTGAGTGAGCCTTTGGTTCCCAAGCCTTCCATCCCTCCTCCCTCATGGGTGTTAGTGTAACTTGGACTCAAGACTTCGGGAGCAGATCCCCGCCCCGCCCCCTCATCGGGCAGCTCTGAGCTCTGCAGTTTCCTGGCCAGGGTTTCATGGGGACTCTGCCTTCACCCCACAGCTGGGTTTCTCAGCCTTGCAACTACCGACACTTCAGGTCAGGTCACCTTCGTTATAGCATCTGTCTGTGCATTGCAGGGTATTTAGCAGCATTGCTAGCCTTTACCCGTAACATACCAACAGCCCCTCCCCGCTCAGTTGTGACAACCCAAACCGTCCCCAAACAAGGCCACATGCCCCCTGCAGGACAAAATTGTCTCTTCGTGCCCCGCCCCGTCAAGAGCCACTGCCCTCCAGGGCCAGCTTGAACGTGTTGGCTCAGCAAGGCCCAGGCACGGCCCACGTTCCGCATGAGTCTGAATCCTGGAGAACAGTTGTCTCATCCGACTATTTGGTGAGGATGAGGAAGCAAATTCTGCCTTTGGTGTTGATGTCTGGGGGATGTGAGGTCAGTTGGGGGTCAGCTGACCCAGGCCTGAGGGACCAGCGACCTGTGTGCAGGAATGGTTTCCCCTCGCCTGTCCTGGATGCTGAGGGGTGGAGAGAGGTGAACTCGGGATGTCTGGCTGTACTTTCCTGTCTGAAGTGCCAAGCACTTCCTCTCCAGCAAGGCCAGTAGCACCGAGGCTGCAGGGCTGACCCAGTGGCAGCTCCATCTCCTCCTAATTTGGCTGAAAGACAAGCTCAGATGTTCTATGATGTGGGAATGGCCACATTAAGCCACAGCCATACAGCGGACTATAATGCAGCCATTGAAAATGGTTTCAAAGACTTTTATGATGGAAAATGCTCACAGCAGAATGTGCAATGAGACAGAGCTAAATCTGGAGGAGGGGACTAGGGGCTTAATTAGGACTGTGGGGCCCAGCAGCAGATGTGA